ATTTTTGAAGATTTTTGAAAATCAGAATTAATTTTTCTAACGACGTTAGAGGCCATGCCCCGATGTGATAACAGAATTGAAACACATGCCCCAGTTTGTTAAAAACAAAACACATGCCCACATCTGAAAACGACGCAAAACACACGTACATTTTCTGGACTTTTCCCTTAACTAATAGAGTAAAGCAGTAAAGCTCAATGTCCTTGGTCCCATATTTAATTTATTTGTTGACTTGATAAGCGAATAAGATTGTGTGAGCAAAATTTACAGAATTGAGTAATAACATGAGTCATAATTTTTTTTAATAGTTACATCGATACTGATGAAACAGAAAATGAAATAGTTAGTACTCTCTCCGGTCTTAAATAAACTTCACACTATCCTTTTTGGGTAAATCCAAAATAAACTTCACACTTCTTATCCCTTCCTTATTTGGCAAATTATCTACACCAAAACAGTCAAAACATAGTCAAACAGTGCCAAACAGTGTCAAACAGTGTCACAACAATGTACTCTACAGTAAAGTCAAATTTATTTCCTTAATTTGTGTGAAGTCAAAGTGTGAAGTTTATTTAGGACCGGAGGGAGTATATATTTAGGACGACTTTAATATATACATCGATTTCCTATGTTTTTAATTATAACAATCTTATTTTCATGTTTGTCAACGAATCATCAATACATGTAATTTTTAATTAGTAAAAAAATCAAAACCAGAATTAATAATGAGATTAATTCAATAATATTATTCAAAACCATAACCTCATACTCCGTATATTAATAAATGAAATGAAATCAAAATAGTGTATGTTAATAATAAAAAATTCATTATGTTACAATTAAAAAAGAGAAGTAATACTCCCTCCGTATCTAATTAGATGACTTGTTTGCTTTTCACGGAGTTCAAGACAATTACTGTAGACTTTATAAAAAGTAAGAGGTTTTTGGTACTGTAACGGTACTGTAGTGGTATTGTAGCTGCTTTTTGAGTGAGATTCTTTCCAAAAAAAGAAATGAAACAATTAATTTGATACATCAAAAAAGGAAAGTGTGACAAGTAAATAAATAAATACGGAAGGAGTAGATGCTATGAAGTAAAAAAGAGAAGTAATATGGAGCAATTAATTTTCAAAGGTATGCATGGATGAGGAATGGTATCATGATCAAGGTTGTTAAAATCGTGATTTGAATCGTAAAATCGTACCATTTTACGATTCAAACACATCTAAACGATTTAACTCGCATTCAAAATCGCTTGGAATTGCGATTTTGATACGAGCTTACAATTTAAATTAAAAACGCCCAGCCCAACTAAATCCATGCTAGGCCAAGGCCCATTTCGCGCCTATAGGCCGGCCAACTAGCGTAAGGCCTTGTGTCTTTGTAGATTAGAAGATCAGCATTAATTTATACTGCTATAGTCACTATAGGAGGGAGGTAGTAAGATTTTTGAGAGCAGCGAAATCCTTCTTGTTCAGGTGTGGGACAAAAAACAATTGAGAAGAAAAACAAAATCCTGAATCCTTGTGGAGTAAAGAAAAATTCTAAAGGTACACACTTTTTGTGTACACACTTTTTACACATGTCTGTGTAAGGTTTTTTTTATGTTTGTACAGACATCTAAAAATACGTTATGTCTGTACAGACATAAAAAAAACCTTACACAGACATGTGTAAAAAGTGTGTACACAAAAAGTGTGTACCTCAAATCCAACTCTGGAGTAAAAGTCAGCCATAGACCATAGTTGTTGCAGGGAATCCTAGGCCTGGGACCGGTTCGGTTCTTACTCAAATTGGTGGAACCGTTACCAAAATTTTAACTAATGAAATCGGTTCGGTTCTTGTGTAAAAAATCAAGAACCGTTATGGAACCGAACCAATACTAAACGGTTCGGTTCTTACTTTTATCGGTTCCTAGAATAATTTTTTCCTCATCTAATAAATGGGCACATTATTTGCTTTCTACCACATTAAAATGTTAAAAAGAAAATCAAACACAAGTATTAAAATTTTATTTAAAGTTCTAATAACTTCAAACATCAAAGCTTAAACTTAATTAAGTGAACACTTAATAGAATAAAAGAAAGTTTCAATTTTCATTTAATAAGTAGAACATAAAAATCTTAGTTAAGATAGGAAGGTTGTTCATCTCATCACAGTAGCAAGATATGACGTCCACTCCAAGTATTTCAAAAACTTAAAAAATATATTGAGTTTGCATGTATAGTTATAGAATTATCATTGCAGTCTATTTGCTAGTAGTATAATTTACAATAAATCTAATAGTTACAAATATCATGAAGATAGTGAAGTAAAACATATGCAATCAACTAGAAGTTAATTGAGTTATTTTATATTTATAAAATATATGTGATTTAAGAAAACTTGATTTTGTAAAATGAGCTTAACGTATTCAATCTCTTGTGCAATATTGATTACTTTTGTTTTCGTTGGTTAAATTAGAATTGTTGGCTAAATATCATTGATTGTACTATTGTTGTTATTGTTGATATTATTGTTATTACTATCACTACTATTTTTATTTTTATTTTTATTTTTAATAACGGATCCTTAACGGTTCTGTGCACATATTTTTTATAGGAACCAGGAACCGAACCGTTAATAACAACTAGGAACCGAATCGTTAACAACTAATACCACATTTGTAGGAACCGAACCGGGTTATAACGGTTCAGTTCCAACCGGTTCTACGGTTCTCGATTCCAAAATCTCACCCCTAGGGAATCCAAAGCCTCCACTAATGCACCTTCACCAACTCAACAACATCAACTATCGTGTACTAGAGACCTATTGGCTACTACCTTCGTTCCTATTATAACTTCCAAATAGGTTTGACACACAATTTAAGATAATGAGTATTGTGTGGTGGAGAGTTGTGCAGAGGAGAGAGAGACGTGTAAGAAATGTTGTGAACCACAAATTCTTTATCAAAAAGGAAAGTAAGTTTTAATTGGAACGGATGAAAAAGGAAAGTTGGAAGTTATAATAGGAACGGATGGAGTATTATATTATGTTTCGATTCTTTCCAAATTCCACCTTAGAGTTATACTTAAGTTAGCTAACTACTCCGTACTTATTATGAGCTTTTATAAACCCAAAATTGTGAAGCAAACGCTTATTATTTGACTTAATAGTGTTAAATTGTGGGTTTCCTTTTATCTAATATTTTAAATTTTTTGTTTTGTATTTTATATAAAATCTTATGATTTAGGATTTGATTTTTAAATCTCTGTAACGATTCAATTCAAAAATACAATTTTAACAACCTTGATCATGATTCATGGTTTAAAAATGGAAATTTATTGTACTATGCTACTTCAGAGTACGGGCTATATAAAACCATACTTCGTATTTTAAATAAGGGAAGAGTTCAAATAAAAAGACCTTTTCCCGTGCAAAGTGCGAAAATATGCACTTTTTCATTTTCGCTTGCATTTTTTCGTGTATCTGTTGCACTTTTTCGCGGTGGCGAAAAAATGCGACTTATTTATGAAATTGCCACCACGATTTGATCCATTTTAGTGCATTTTTTGTCTATTTTGAGCCATTAAATGTGGAAATGAATACACAAAATTCATTCCGACTTTCTATTCTATTGGGAAGATATTTGAACTATCTCCTTTTAAATAAAATGTAAAATTATTTATATTTAGATTTACATGTAACTTGATTTTCAACCAATGCCCAGCAATTCCGAGAGGTCTTATCTGTTTCTGTCGCCGTCACGCCACCCTTTATTCCCGTCCCTCCCTCCCACGTTCTCCGCACCTTTCCCGCCCTACTTCCTCCTTACTGCTTCCCCTTTTCAAACTTATACGCTTTCTCGACTCTCTACCCCTTCAATACTTCATTCCTTCCTGTTGCCATTTCATCTCTCTAGGCTTTATCGACCTCTCTTCATTCTTTTGCTTAGCAATGGCGGTTCTCCCGATCTCCACCTTCGCTCTATTCTCACTCTTCGCGATGTTTTCCGTTCAACGCGCTCTACCTGCAGATCCGCCTGGGATTTCGCCGGCGCCGGCTCCCGTTCACTCTCCCGAAACTCCCTCTCCGTCTCCTGCACTCGCTGACAGTTCTCGACAGGCAGATTTTACCTCGCCGTTGCTGTCTCCGTCTCCGTCATTGGTGATTGCTAATGCTCCGTCTCCTTCCCCGTCCTCGGCGATTGCAAATACACTTTCTCCGTCGAAGTCACCTGCTCCCGCGCCGGTCTCCCAAATGGCAAGTGATGTGGCTCACGAGAGCGTGGAATTATCTCATGAGTCCGGAAAAGAGGGAATGAGCGGCGGGAAGAAGGCCGGAATAGCGTTCGGAGTGATTTCTGGGGTGGTTGTGGTAGGGTTGGCAGGGAAGATTTACAAAAAGCGGCAGGATAATGTCCGTCGAGCGCATTTCGGACAGGCCTCCCGGCGAGGGTTCCTCTAAGCTCTGGCTTCTGCAAATCCAGCCTTTGATGCTACAATACCGCATAGATTTGAGAATGCACAGATGTAAAAAGGTGATGGCAAACGTTTGATTCTTCACTTGATAGAGAAAAGCTGCTGTTAATTTCCAGTTTCTTTCCATTTCATTTAATTAGGTCTCTCTTTTGGTTCATTATTATTTCATGAATGTTCGTTACGTTATGGCGTCATATCAGTAATTTTGTGAGTAGACTCGCCCTTCAGTTCGTGGTGCTATTATAAAGGAGTGTTATGTACTCATTTGAGTATTTCTGTGTGACTATGTGAGTCTATGTATTGTTGTATACTACGTATAATGAACATTCATACTCCGTGTATAAGATTAATTTCAAATAAATGTTTAAATCAAATCTGTTTACAGGATAATTTTTTAATACATGCTTTCTCTTCATCCCAAAATAGCATATATACGTATAAGAAAATGTTTCTATTTTATAACACAAAGCAAAAAAACAGTCATTTTTAGTAAACATAGGGTTTTGTGTAGGCATTGCATTCGGCTTTCAAATATTTCGTATTTGCTTTCTGGTTTATCGAAATGAGTAGTATATAATGATGTATGCTTATTAGAATTTTGAAATTTGAACAAAGGTTGTTTTATCATGTACTTCCTCTCTCCCAAACAAACTTCATACTTCTCATATTATGTGGAAGCTGGAACCGAGCTGTCAGAAGAAGAGACTGAGCTGTAAAGACTTATAGACGTGCCAAGTGAGTGAGTGACCACTTTATTATATTTAAGGACATGGCCACCTTACAGTTTGGTACACATTATGTGGAAGTTGGTATACACACCCATTGACACATAAATAGAACTATAGAAGACTGTCTGTGTCTGACTAATTACTCTGATCTTCTGCTGGAGGATCCACCCAGCGGTCATGTTCTTTAATTAGATTGATCAAAGCATCTGTAGCTTCCTCCATTGCAATGCCTCGTTTCACCACTGTCTGTGAACAAACAGTCATTTAGCATTTTGACCATAAAAGATTAAAACTAGTGAATTGAATTTCAGAAATCGAGGGTTACCTTTCCAACATAAAGATCTATCTTCCCAGGAGCACCACCAACATATCCAAAGTCTGCATCGGCCATCTCCCCAGGCCCATTCACAATGCAGCCCATTATAGCAATCTTAAAGAGAAAAATATTAACAGTGAATTATGAGTTCGTTGGTAAAAAAGGGTGCACCCCATCCATAGAAGATCTGGAATTAGAAATAACAATATAATGGTTTAAACTTGATATATGTTTATTACTTGTTCAAAACACCATATGCATTTTTAAGTTTATTTCATTTCTAAAAAAAATTGAAGCATCTATCAGATCTCAATTTCGTTTGCATTTCGAGTAAAGCATCTCAATTTCCTTGGCATTTTTTCCATGTCCCTAGCATCTTTTGGGATCCAAACAGATTCTATTTGGTAAAAAGTCTCCTAGATAAGCCGAAAGAAGTGGGTACTGAAGTCTGAACTGTTACACTTACTAGTTGCTATTACTATATTATTAAAATGAAGTCCAACAAAAGTCCAGTTCCTCAGTTTTGGTACTTACTGAAACACCAGGTAAGTGCGACGTCTTCTCACGTATCTCTGCGCTTATCTCTTGAAGGTCAAACAGAGTTCTGCCACATGAGGGGCATGACACATATTCCTGAAGAAAGAAAGCATACAATTACTCCAATTTATCAAATGAAAAAACAGGCAAACTAACTTCCGCGCATATATGCTTTATTACCGTCTTAGTATTCCTCATCCTGCATCCTTGTAGAAGATTGAACGATGTATTTCTAAGAAACTCAAAATCATTATCAGGAGATTCTAAGAGCACGCCATCTCCAAGCCCATCTACCAATAGAGCACCAGCATTAGTTCCAGCACCAATTACTACATCATCCCTGCAATTGAGTACCCGTGCTAAGTTCAGGAATTGGGCATTTCTCGCACAGACAATTAGTCATGATTTTTTCATACCTGTGAATTTTCTCAGGAAATTCTATATGATGAATCACTGGAAAATCCAAGGAATTTTCTGAAAGATATTCAAAAAGCCTGCAAGCATGAAACAAATATCAGCTTGATAGTTGCTAGCCAGGAAAGTACTACTATTACGATATTATCAAATTTCTTGTCGTTTAGAGCCTGTTTGGAAGACTTACATTCAGCTTGTTGGACTTATTCACCAAAAAGTACTCCCTCCGTCCCATAAAATTCTTCTCACTTTCCTTTTTGGGCCGTCCCAAAAAATTCTTCCCACTTACCATTTTTGGACAATTTGTGTGGTTCACATTCATTTCACCTTTTTCTTACACAACTACAACCACACATTTCCACTTTATTCCACTTTCTTAATCTCCGTGCCAAGTCAAAGTGGGAAGAATTTTCTGGGACGGAGGGAGTAACTTATTTCATTGAGTTGGCTGAATCGGGTCATTATGAAATATGAACATTGTAGTGCAGGAGTTGCCTTTTCGCAGAAATTGATACTTCCCCCTTTATCTTAAAGAAATTATTTTCTTTGACTTATTTTAAAACATTTCCAAATAAATTCTTAGAGTAATAAATAGCTTTAGCTGTTTCAGATACAAATTCAGAAATTTGAGCATACTTGACCACTACAATCACTTAAGCATAAACGGGCTTTTAAGATGATAAATGAAGTAAAACACCTAACTGCTTTACATCAAACTCTTCAAGAATATTTATTTATAAAGCAAAATACAGCAATACCTCCTTGCAGCATGAACTCGGCTGATTTTTTCTTCAGTACATGGTAGATTGTGAAGAATCAAAGTTGCATCAGATTTCTTTAGCAATTCCAGTTCTTCATAGGGTTCATCACCACGTACAGACACAACCAGTCGTGCACCTAAAGGAAGTGAATGATATATAAATAATATAATGAGTGCTGACATGTACAAAATAATAATAAATCATCACTATCCATGCTAAAACATGAATAAAAAAGTTGTGCCTTCTGTGAGAAGTTTGTGAGCACAGCTAGATAATTCCTTGAGAGTAACCAAGACCATGGCGTTAGGAAATGGCTTTGTTAATTGCTCTGATAATGGTGTTATGACTCCCATGCTGATGTCTATCAACCTCTTCAGAGCTAGACGCTGGCCATGGGATGGGGGCGGGGGAAAACAAGTCAGCCTCACAACTCTAATAAAACATATACTCTGTAACACGTGAAAATGCTGTACTGCCAAAGTGTCATTTATATATATGAAGGAAACAGCCCTTACAGCATCATTGTCATGAACTGGTGGAAGCTCTCTCAACAAAATTGAGTCCACAGTTGCTAAATCCTATAGCATGGAGTAATCACCTTTATTAGTAATATAGCAAGTTTACAACTGCACATTCAACAGAAGTAATCATTTTACATGGCAGAGTATTATTTTTGAGCTAATAAAAGGATATAATTGGGACCTTAAATGGCATGCCAATAACCAGTTTTGTTGCTAATGACTTGTACAAAAGTTCAGGTGCCTGCCAATAGGAAATAGCAAGAGAAGCTTTCAAATAACAAAACAGGAAAATAAAAACAAAGAAAAAGAATATAAAAAAATTGCCCTAAATATGAGAAAAAACGATTTTGAATTCCAAAGTAGGAGCACTATGTTTATATTCCCTAAATAGGAGTAATATGTTTGGAAAATATGGCTACTTATGGCACTATACCATCATATTTAAAGCTCAGTAATGCCAAAATATGGCAGTAAATTTTCAGGATGACAGTAATGTACTTCTATGTAGGGGAAACCATCTCCTATTTCAGAACTTTACATTGTTTTTGCTCCTATTTTGGGAAATTTCCCAAGAATATATGATGTCCTTGTTTGGTTAGGGGAGGGAAGGGGATGGGTGAAATTTGCTTAAATAATTTACTGATTAGTTTTTCTGTTATTTCAGAAAATAAATATCTACTTGGAGTAAATTAATAAAGTAATGAATATCAGACCTCCCCTTCCCTCTCTCCAAAATCCCCCAACCGTACAAGGGGTAAAAGGATGACACAAATGCTAAGCAACGGAAAGATCAATAAATGAATAAAGTGAAAAATGAGACCTTCAACTGATCCAGGGAAACAGACATGATGACAGAGCCATCTCGGTGCAAAACACCTCTATAATCTACCTCTTCGCCCTGCCAAGCTTGCACGCATTGGCTCAATATTCAAATTTCAAATTGAACAAGAAATAATAAATAAATAAATAATGGCAGGCCTAAGGTGTGTACTGATTAAAATTAACATGTGACCTCTTTTTGCAGTGGCAACTGTCCTGTTCGTCGTTGGAAGTCAAAATAGCGACGGTGCTTTTCTTCAAAAGGTGCCTAAAATGGATACAAAATCAAGCCTATATAACAAAATCTTGAATGGTCTAAGCAAGATGATGAAGCAAATTTGTTATGCAATCCTACCACTCCTTGCTGAAGCTTGGCTGCTCTCATACCAAGGTTTGCCAGCCGTCGACATGGATCAATCTCTTCTTCTGGAGGTTCAGTAAGGGAAACCCTGATTGTATCACCCAGACCATCCTGTGCGGTGAAATGTTAAGCAATTTGCATATCCAAAGCCATGAAAATATTTTTGTGTACCCCATTTTCCAATTTCAAATAGCTCTTTCAATTTGAGCAAGAATATGCTAATTATTGGGTTTGAGTCTAGTCTAGTATATATAAGTATGAGAAATTTTCTGGTCCAAAAGGAAGAGTCCAATTTTAGTAAGGTAGAGCTTTTGATTTTTAGTTTAGGGACCTGGTCTTTTGGAGAGGAAGCTTCTGGTCTTGTCTGACTTTAGCGATAATATTATGCCTTTAAAATCTGATCTAGAACGGAAAATAAGTCCAAAACTGAAATAAGTCCAAAACAACAGGTCCTACTTGAATCGCACAAGCTTTAAGAAGTTAATCCGTATAAATGCAACTTATACCCTAGGACATATTTTCAAGATTATTTAGCATAACAATATAGTTTAATGAAACAACCTTTTGATTCGCATTATAGGAATTCTGCTTTAAATAATACTACCTCTGTTCTTAAATAATTGTAGCTATGTTGAATTTTATGCAATTCACATGCTCTACTTTGACTAAATTTTATTTATTAATGTATTAGATTTTTTTTGAAGTATTGTTAAATTCGTCTCGTTTTAAATTTTCTAAAACCTAATTTTTAATTTTTTTAATGATAGAGAATTACATAAATTAATAGAGGAAGCAATTTGGGGACAAAAAACTTCTTGAAACAAGGAATGGATTTTCATATCATGAAGCAATAAATTTCCATCCAACTCAGGAAGTAAAATACCAGTAGCAGTGTTCCGATGCCAATTGCAGATTTCATCCGCCCATCTTCACCCTCACCAGCTTCAGTAACTCCCAAGTGTAATGGATAATCCCATCCCTGGATGTACATCTCGGCTACAAGAAGACGATATGCCTGGACCATAATAACTGGGTTGCTAGCTTTCATTGAGAACAGAAAGTTATGGAAGTCCAACTTCCGACAAATTCTTGCAAACTCAAATGCAGATTCAACCTGTTCAACATAACCAGTAAAATGATAGAAAGTTGAATGCCATATACAGATTAGGTAGTTTCTGCAGTAGCTTGACTGGCCTAGCTGCTCACCATCCCCCTGGGAGAATCCCCATAATAGCTCATGATGCGGTCTGATAGGCTCCCATGGTTTGTACCTATACGCATAGCACGCCCATACTTCTTGCATTTCTCAACCAATGGTGTAAACACCTGCACCATAAAGAGATGCATTAGATGGTGTTGAAACTAAAGCTTCCGGGTATGTTTGGATTGCTTAAAAATGGTAAGGAAAAGGAAAGTTATTTTCCTGGTCTGGGTCTCAACTTAGAAAAGCAAAGAAAAGTGAAACATAATAAATTAATGTTTAAAAAAGTATTTATGTTTAGCATTAGTCTATATACTAGAAATAAACAAACAAATAAATAAAAGGTGTTTGAATAAATTTAAAATATAAATTCATCGAGTTCGAAACAATGTTTTATTTATGTTTGCATTTCCATTGCTCTCACAAGTTGTTCTATATTTTCCTCTAAATTTGCTTTCCCTTCCATTTGTGAGCTCCATAAGAGTTTTCAACTTAGAAAATGTGGCTTAACGCTTCAAGCTTAATTAATGAATACAATGAACCTAATACACAATTTATGGATTATGGAACATTGAAGTGAATCATTTGATAATATCCAAGCTACAACCTTTTTATTTCAGTATGGTAAAACTACTGGAAAACATCAATTCTTAATATATTTAAAATTTATTTTTCAGTTTAACTAAATTTAACATACTTAACTTGTTTGAGACATCCTTTAAAAAAACTTGTTCGAGATATCTCTTTAAAAAAATATAATGAAAATTAGCTTGTTTTATTTAAACAGATCTATGTTTTGGGACAAGGGGAGTACATGATTTAGGATAGGCCTGAAGACATGAATGCCAAACTGCATATTTCTATCTTCTATATTCCATGAACCAGAATGATTAGCTGGTTTCATTTAAGTCATAAAACTTAACAACCATCACAGCTATTATTGAAAAGTCTAACCTCCTCAATGTGCTCAAGTTCATTCTGATAATCTTCCTCTGTGTACTCCAGCTTCTCAAACTGGGCTCGCCTGTCAGCTGGGAAAACAAATCATTAAGACCATAACAGCCACTCAACAATTTTTATCAAAATGGAACAGAGTGCATCACATGGTGTACCAAAGTTTCCAGGGTTGACACGAATTTTATCAAAACATTCAGAAACTCGAAGTGCGACTGAAGGGGCAAAATGAATGTCTGCCACCAAAGGTATATTACAACTGCACCAAAGGGAAACACCCACATTTTTCATTCACAACCGACGTTTCACAATTTCCGTTAAAGTTTAGAAACAAAACATACTTCTTTTGAACAAGAGAATTTTTTATTTCAAAGCATGCATCAGCTTCTTTCTTGCCTTGCACTGTTATGCGCACAAAGTCAGCTCCTGTATCAGCTATTTTCATTACCTGCATGGGTAAGAATTAAATAACAAATCATTTTAAAATATCAAACAATTTAACACATACAAATAAACCCAAATAGAAAACCACTATGGTGTCTAATGCTACAGTGGACTAAGTAGTTACTTGACCTATAGAAGCAGTAGAATAAGTAAAAGAACCTGTTCAACTGTTCCAGCAACATCCTTAGTATCTGTGGTGGTCATAGTTTGGATTCTTATAGGATGCTCGCTACCAATTGCCACATTTCCAACCATCACGGTGTTGGTTTTTCTCCGTACCGTTTTGTGTGTTAATTCACAATACTTTTGCTTTGGAACTACAAATAATGAATCACAACCAGGCCATTAGAATAGACACATAATATTTAAACTTCTTCTTCGTATTTCTTTGATGATCACAAAACTCACTAGCATTCAGAAAGTTAGTATTTTTCACAAGCCTTTGGGGTCTATTTGGTAGGAATAGTTTGAAACGTTTTGGAGAAAAAGGCTTTGGAATCTTGGACCTACTTTAGCCCAACACCAAACTAGAAATTTCATTCCAAGACAACAGGTCCTTATATATATCTTCATAAATAGAATGCTTCTAAACAGGACGAAAAAATTATTGAAACGTTATTGGATCACATAATTTTGTTGGTCTTTCAATATGTTAGTATAAAATTTTAAATATGTATCATGATATAGACTACGCCATCCACAACCTTCATATTCAAACACTGATCCCAACAGACCCTAAGAGATTTTATGCACTTCGGGACAGAGAGATATTCAAATTCATAAGACTATTCAATTTAGGAAAATTGCTAAGGAATTAGAGTGATAGAGAACACCTAGAAGTGGACTCCCTGCTGATGCGGGCTGAAGGTCAACCGTATCAGGCCCAAAATTGGAATTCGTAATCACAGAAACCTTGGTCCGGCGAGACTTAACCCGCTTCAAGTCAGACACTCTGACGAAATCCACGCTTTTACCGAACTCCAATCCAGATTCCCTGCCTGTGAGTGCTGGAAATGAAACCGGCATAGCTCCAGTTGCCATTCTACCACAAATGGCAAATTCTCGCAACTATTATTAGCACAAGGGTAAATATCGCAAGTATGTGCTCTTAGTTATGAGGCCGGGATCGACGCTCCAAACACTGATAAGACGGAATTAAGGGCGTCCGGGTGTTGGTTAGAAGGAGGCCGGATCCGGTGGTGGTCTGGACGGTGGAGACTGGAGACTAGAGAGAAATGGAAGGTCCACACTAGACAGATGTGGTCGTTAAAAGCTGGGTGAAATCCATGTCAGAAAAGTCTCGTTCGTGTAAGAGTTAGTTGATGACTTGATGCGACCAACCAGGTTTGCGTTTACTACCTGGAAAACAAATGCTTAGGATTTTGCAGAAAATTCTATGCTTAGGCTTTTACGTACGGAGTATAAAATAAGGCTAACACCCGTTCCAAAAGGTGGAATCTCCCACCCCAGAATAACAGTAGTAGGTCCATACACCCGTGCGCAACAGAGGCCTAATCTTATTTCAGGTTTTGTGACCTCCACTCGGTCGTTGCGGGGATTCGAACTTTGGTCCATTGTTCCAAATCTCTCATCACTCGACCAACTGAGCTACCCGTGCGGATTTAAAATAAGGCGAACCATTTTATGAATGTGAAATGGATAGATGTGAAGAGACTATTTTAGGTAAATTGTAATATTGTATTACCATGTAAAATATTTTATTATGGTAGAGTTGCAACACTCTATGTGTTTTGTGTGAAATATAAATTAAAAAAAAATTAAAAATCTAATTAAGGAATGTATTTCTATTTTTAGGTACAAAGTGATTGTTTCATTAAGATATGAATGAAAGTAATTAACATATAAAGTTTCGATTTGTATACCTCCAAATGAGCAGTAATTAATGTATTTCTATATTTCTAGCAATCACTAATTTCAATTCTTAAATCTTTCATATTTCTTTATATATCCACACACTCAAACGTCAACCCTTTTATTGATTATAGGGATTTTGACATGAATATTACTAAAATATATGTGGTGAACATAAAAGAAACCTTTTTTCTTGGTTTCCAAAAATGTGACTACTAAATGCTTAACTTTCTAAAATACCCTTGAAGTGTTATCCGGATAACTTAATATCTAAAATTTTCTCCCTAAGTGCGTGCCTGTCTGGTGCGTAAATATCCACTGCCTAACATTGCACTTTCAAAACAAATGATTCTTATGATTTTTATACTCCTGTGTTACTCCAAAAAACTATTTATTACCTCTTTTAAAAAAACTCCGTATTACTTCAAAAAAAAATTGTTCTCCGCATTACTCTGTATTTCTCAGCGACAAATGGTTAAATTATTTTAGATACATACTTGTATTTCTCAAGATACATACGAAGTACTACGTTTTATGATATGGAAAAGTCTTAAATGTTTGAATTATTACATTTAAATTAATGTGAAAATCGTCTCAGTTACTATCATTCCAGTGACTTCTTTCACAGTTATTAACGCTCCAGTGACCACTGTCTCAGTTACTTCCGCTCCAGTGACCACCTTTTCAGTTCCTATTGATGAAGTGATCATCACCCCAATGAACAATCGTACAAATATCAGTTATTCGGCCAATTATAGTTCTACCCTTATTAAGCCCAAGTAACTCATACAGTGACCAATAGTACAATTATCAATTACATACATTCTTGATCAGTTACAGTTACATAACTCAATCGGTTACAGTTACTTGATGCAATCAGTTACAGTTACTTGACCCGATCAGTTACAGTTACCTGACGCGACCAGTTACAGTTACCCGATCCGATTAGTTACAATTATCTGATCTCCTAATTACAGTTACCCGATTTAACCAATTACCATTACCGAAAACAACCGATTACAATTACCCAATCCAACATTTATAGTTACTCGGTCTATTTATAGTTACCCGGTCTGATAATGACCACCGTCCCTGACCACCCCGACGACCACCACCTTGGGCCTCCACCTGAGACTACCACCCCTGACCCCGAAACAAGTTGTCACTCCCCTGCCCCCTCCCTAGCATCAGCCCCCAGCCTGCTTCCCCCTTATAGCCTTTCCCTGCCATCCCCATACCACCGAAGGCCACCACCCCCGACCACCACAACCGCCCCGAAACAAGCAGCCACTCCCCTGCCACCTTCCAACCACCAGTCCCTAGCCTGCCTGCCCAGTATAGCCTTTCCCCGCCATTCCACATGCCCCATTCCCCTGCTGCCACTAGCCATATATCGGAACAACAGCCAATCCAAATCCCAAATCCACTCCGTCAAAATCTGAAGCCCTGGCTCCGATAGCTCTTATCAAAACCCTAATCAAACACATCTTAAACACCAACCGCTCGCCACCATAATCCAATTCAAAATCCCAATCGCCACCCCCAGAGCTTGTTGCTCACATCTGCCTCGTTTTCTATTTTGTTTTATCTCCACCGCTATACCTGAAATCGTAGCCATATTCTTCATCCGAGGAACTCGTCGTCTCCTTCACCTTGAATCTGTAATCCATTGGACATGACTTGAAGGAAAAGAAGAGCAGGTGCGGACGACGGCGTGAGATAACACTTAACAGAGGAGGCAATGAAGGTGTGGGATAATAGAGCTGGCGATGATGATGTGGGATGACGGCGGTGGGGGCGGTGTTGAACTCCAACCGGTTATCACAATCAAGCAAGCTTGAGATAAAGAGTCTGCAGATCGACGTGAAGAGATGACAGGCTTAGGATTATTTGGGGGTACTTCTGTCCATTCAATAATACTTAGTCCCATTTTTGTTTAAATTAAAATCAGGTAATATTTTTGTCCATGTGTAAGCTATACTAATATTTTTGTCATTATTCCTTGATTATACTTTTAGTAAGTTGTATTTTTAGACATATTTTTATTAATTTTGTAGTAGTGTGCACTGGTGCAAAATTACCTTTTTGCGGCGCTTAAATCAACCAACGTGCGGCGCTTTCAGGCGCCGCACATCTCGGTGCCGCAATTTAACGCGTGCGGCGCTTATTTTAAAAAAGCGCCGCAAAATATTTTTTAAATTAATAATTTTATGCGTAACCGTGCGGCGCTTTTCTGTAAATAAGCGCCGCAAATATTTTTTAAATTAATAATTTTATGCGTAACCGTGCGGCGCTTTTCTGTAAATAAGCGCCGCAAATATTTTTTAAATTAATAATTAAATACGTAACCGTGCGGCGCTTTTCTGTAAATAAGCGCCGCAAATATTTTTTAAATTAATAATTAAATACGTAACCGTGCGGCGCTTTTCTATAAATAAGCGCCGCAAATTTTCAACATTTTTTTAAAATATTAATTATATTTAGGATCTTTCAAAAATGTCCTGTAACAGAATTAACAAAATTCAAAAAGTGTAAACTGTTTAAAGTCATCACAATATCAACAACATGAACTTCACAAATTACAAAATCAGCAAAGTGTAAGCAATTCAAGTAACCAACAGATTACAAAAATCTTCATAAAAATGATTTCAAAAAACACTTAACACAATACATAACCAATGTAATCAACTTTTACATATTTAAGAGTACATCCAAGAAAAATCGTGCCCATATATTGCGAATGTTATTAAACTCATCTTCAGAATATGCCTCAGTTCTTGAATACCAATCCTACAAATATTTAGATAAAATAAAACATAAATAAAAAATATTACAACTTTTAAATTAGAAAAAATTAAACGAAGTTAAAAAATAAGAATAAATAATGATATACCTTTCCAATATCAAAGCTATCAACATACGAAATCACTTCCCATATGTATCGCATGGTATAATATCCGCATTCTGTGTTTCCGTTTTGTCTGGCACACTTTTTTGAAATACAAATTTACAAAATATATGTATCAATGTTAATGGTGATTGAAATAAGTTATTGATGAATTTACCTTAACATTATGCCATGTGATTGGCTTTCCATCACCATTTCTTGCGGAAGCAACTCTGTATGCTCTACATTAAAAAATTTATGTTAAATGATATAAATAATAATAATAATAATAATCTATAGCAATTATTATAAATAAAAAATATTAAACGAATACTTACAATGCTAGATCTTTCTGAATGCTGATATTAGAAAAGCTTGGGATTGAATTGAAGATATAGCCTTTATTAACCGAGGGGCAAATGACTATCAAAATCCAATGAAATCTAAATATCAAAAAAATTACAATTAATTAAAAAATTAAATTTACATAAGCAGATACATTATATAAAATAAAACTATTTACCCTTCATTATATGGAAGCAAGATCATTCTTTTTCCAAATGTCGCACACAAAGATTGTTTCATATATGTTATTGTGCCCTTCTTGTCAAGTTGATAAGAACCATAAGAGCACAATAAGGGGCACAAAAACACAACATCATCACGTTGCAAATCATTCAATTTAGCTAAGGCACACCTATAATAAACATAATATAGCATCATTATACAATTTTGAAGTTCAAATCATTTCATTAACTTTAATTTAGATATTGTTATATTTATTTAAAATACTTACAATGCAAAGGATTGAATGATGCACATATCCACAGAATCACCCTCGAGTAGTTCAGTCAAGTCTTTACGATCGATGATAGTCCCAAATTCACTGTTTTGCGGATAGTGAAAAGCATCAACAGGTAAAGCAATAGAGAATTTACACACCTCTGGCTCATACCACTCTAGCATCTCATGTAGCTCCAATAAATCTTCAGTTAGTGACTGCAAAATAGTATCACTAACCAATGGGTATGTGCTAGGAGGAACCACAACCCGAGGAGACTCTCTCGGAATAAAAGCTTTATTCTTTTGAATCACATCTTTCCGCTTTGACTTTACCTGATCCTAAAAAAATGGTCAGAATGACAGTAACATAGAGTAATTTTGTATTGTTTGATAATTGCAAAGAGTTGTTTATTCACCTCTCCTTCAAAAAAAACTAAATGACTAGGCCACTCAACAAATGATCCTATAGCGTCTGTCAACACATATACATCAGCATTTTCATTTGGAACTAAAAGAGGACATTGCTCAAAACCTGTAAAAACCATTGAAACAAAAAACAAACTTAAATAATAATAACATTTAAAGATTTGCATCTCACAAAATCTGTGAACACTATACATGGAAACAAAAGATGACATTTCACGGGACCACACATCTTGACTTCTCTAACCAGATGTACCACAAGATGCACCATAATGTCAAATAGTGAAGGTGGAAAATACATTTCAAGCTGACACAATGTAATAACCACTTCAGCTTGCAACGCATCAAGTTTCTCAGGGTGAATTACTTTCTGACATGGAATTGAAGAAGAAAC